GGGGTGGCAACAGTGGAGCAAGCAGGAGGAGGGAGTCACTCCTGTCAAGCAGGAGGCAGTAAAAGTCATCCGCAACATCTCAGGCAGTGATGTGTTCCGCGAGCCGGTCCTTGGCCTCGAGGACCGGCTCCAGGGCCGAGCCGAAATCCTTTGGTTTCGGAACGGCGGTACACGGACCCAGATAAAAGCATGTTTTCCGTGTTTCAATTTCCAATTTATAGAAGCGATACAGGCGATGCCTCATTCCGGCTCACTGGAAACAGCAACACTGCCTTCTGGCGGATGGAGAAGGAATAGCGTTTCAACACATGCAGATCTCAGCAACTGTTGTGTGTGTGTGTGTGTGTGTGTGTGTGTGTGTGTGTGTGTGTGTGTGTGTCCCTCAGCGCTGGCAGAAGTCGGGCACGCACCTTGAGCACGTGGCATCTCGTTTCTGCCTGGACTCGGCCATGGCGCTGGACGGGCTGGACTCGTCTCGCATGCTGGTCATCGGCCCATGTGAGCCGGGCGCCTCCACGCAGCGTTGGGACGTCCCTTTCTCCTGACCCGCCAGCCGGAAGCTCGCCCAAGCAAGCCTGTGGGTCGCCTAACTGCAAATTCCATGTCTTGCTCAAGGACATTAGCGCATACTCTGGTCTCGTACCACCAACCTTCGGGTTCGGAGGCGACCTCTCTGAGCCCTGAGCCGTGACGGCTTTGTGGACAAGAGACACCAAGTGCACCTTAGAATTCTACTCTATTTATTTCATTGGTTGACACAACATTAGATACATTTCATGCAACTCTAGACGGTACGGTGGATGACTGATTAGCACGTCCGCCTCACAGTGCAAAAGGTCCTGGGTTCAAATCCTGGCTCCTGCCTTCCTGTATGGAGTTTGCATGTTTTTCTCCGGTTTCCTCCCACATTCCAAAAACATGCATGCTAGATTGACTGAACGCTCTAAATTGTCCCTCGGTGTGATTACCAGTGTGAATGTTTATTTGTCTCTGTGTGCCCTGCGATTGGTTTGCAACCAGTTCAGGGTGTACCTCGCCTACTACCCGAAGAGGCTGGGAAAGGCTTCAGCATGCCCTTGACCCTCATGAGGAGAAACGGCTCAGATAATGGATGCACTGATCAGTGTTTGTTATATGTTGACTCTCTTGTAAGTAAATGAGGCAACTAAAATTTTAGAGATACCCCTCAAAAAATTTGTCCCCGGGGTGCAGCACAAGGCGGGTGTCGCTGAAGTTGTGTCTGGTGTATTTGTGTGTTGTGGCACAAAGTACACGTCATCTTGTTGTCTGTTAACGTGCACATCTCAGCATGACACATAATTTCTAGCAAGTATGTTCTGTTTGAATCGAAGAGCGTGTGACGTTTCTGTTGGCTTCTTTTTTGCTGCAGGATGAGAGCACCACCTTGTGGTACCAAAGCTTAATTGCGACTCACCTGCTTGCTGTGTTGTCTGGTCACCCACAACGCACGCACGCACACACAACTACAGAATAGGGCTGGATGATGTGGCCATATTTTTTTTTCTTCTCGCCACAAAACCCTAATTGTCGATTTTAATTCATTTTTACTCCATCGCTTATGAGAAACGCAAATGATAATTAAATTATTCATAACTACTTTTGCTTTGTTCTCCCAGAGTTGGTAAATACTGTAAAGCACAAAAAAAGGAATTCTCGCTAGTTTGACAACAGTGACTGCTTTTGTAAACTAGCCCTTTAAAACACGGAAAGCAATCAAAATCGCTCTTAAAATATAGTCCTAATAAATAAAATGGAATTAATGAATTCAATCCACACACACACACACACACACACACACACACAAGCGCGCGCGCACACACACAGTCCTCAACATTCCAAAGTCGGGGTTACCTTCCCAAGATGGCGGCCAGCGTACGCAAGCTCATGTTGGCAGTGTTGCGTATCGCGATTTTGCGTCCAACATGCGTGTTGTGGTGAATTGAGGGAGAGAGAAACGATTGCTCTGCATGTTTGTATCACTTACACACTTTGGAGTGTGATGAGCTGTCTTGCCCCATTGTAGTGTGTTAACAGTTGAGCGAATGGAAGTGTGTTCGTCGATCTAGAAGATGGCTTATTTTCATCACAATAAAGTTTTATAACGACCGAGTCATCGTTGACGGAGAATATTTTTTTTTCCAACATTAGTGCAACGCACACCTGCACTTTATTCGGTTCACACACTTTAGCACCGTTTGCCCCTGAAAGTATACCACTCCAGTCCTGTAGGTGGCCGTAATGCACATTAAAAAGTGGAATCCAATCACACATAAATTGGGTCACTGCCTCTTGCCCCAAATGGACCGGTCGCTAGTCAATGTCAGGGCACCAAAAGAAAAGCAATGGATTGGTTAATTCGTCTGTTTGTAGATAATTTGGGGCAGCCGTCATCTGTCATTTCCCCCAAAAAGTTCTCAAAGGGCCATCTATTACTTGATTGATGCATTGAGGTGACACGCCCCCACCTAAGAGCCAGTCAGACACGTTTATTCAAGCAGGTTGGACTGCATTACAATCTTGTTCCGACACCTTAAATCACATCAGCGAACGTTGAGAACATTCAGTGCATATGGAACGTGTACCCACTGCTGTTCAAAAACCACTTTTTTTGCGAAGTAGCAAAGTGAAACCAAGATTAATTATATCGAAACCTTTCTTACCATTTATGTGACCTGAGCCCATACAACTCAATTTAATAATAATAATAAAAAAAGTAATCTTTTTGGAATAAACAACTGATATAATGTGACACCCAGCAGTGATGGACAGCGATGGCAGCATCATAGTCAAGTTTTCAGGCGACTGCTCAGAAGAAAAAAAAACTAGAACAATTGAACTTTGTTTGAGGTTCATCAGAGATACTTTACAGGTCGGTGTGGACTCCCAATGTTGTCTGTTACGTTAACCTCAGTGCAGTGGCCACTTTATTATGTAAACGCTTTAGTGGCAGTCAATGTAAAAAAAAAAAAAAGAATAAAAAAATCTGACAACCTGAACCTCCGTCAAGGCCAAACAAGCCAAAACATCATGTGTTCCACTCTTGTCCTATAGATGGCGGTAATGATCATTAAAAAGGAGAAGCAAGTGACACACACGCGCGCGCACACACACACACACACACACACACACACACACACACACACACACACACACACACACACACACAAGCTTTTCTTCATCATCTGGAACTGGCGGGTCACTGCCCCTCCGTTTCAATTTATTAAATTTGTTTCAAGTTTTCAGGCGACTGCTCAGAAGAAAAAAAAACTAGAACAATTGAACTTTGTTTGAGGTTCATCAGAGATACTTTACAGGTCGGTGTGGACTCCCAATGTTGTCTGTTACGTTAACCTCAGTGCAGTGGCCACTTTATTATGTAAACGCTTTAGTGGCAGTCAATGTAAAAAAAAAAAAAAGAATAAAAAAATCTGACAACCTGAACCTCCGTCAAGGCCAAACAAGCCAAAACATCATGTGTTCCACTCTTGTCCTATAGATGGCGGTAATGATCATTAAAAAGGAGAAGCAAGTGACACACACGCGCGCGCACACACACACACACACACACACACACACACACACACACACACACACACACACACACACACACAAGCTTTTCTTCATCATCTGGAACTGGCGGGTCACTGCCCCTCCGTTTCAATTTATTAAATTTGTTTTTTTAAATCAGTTTTACGATTGTTACTTATTTATAAAATTGGAAACATCTTTATGAGTGTGTGTGTGTGTGTGTGTGTGTGTGTGTGTGTGTGTGTGTGTGTGTGTGCGTGCGTGCGTGCGTGCGTGCGTGTGTGTGTGTGTGAGAGTGCTTGTGTGGGGCTAGGAAGGGTCTTTGTTTGGGTATTTGGCATCAACGATCTTATTGAAGGCTTTGGTGGCGGACTTGGTCTCGACGTTTTTGGGTTTGGTGGGAATCTGTGGACGTGGAAGTGAAGGAAGGATATATCAGTGGTTTTTTTTTTTTTTTCTGTGTTGACCAAAATATGGCTCAGTCTTTCCCCTTTGTGAAAAATGGCTGTCAGGGAATTGCTACATTATGCTGTGTTCGTCTGAAGAAGACTCACTCGTCATGGCTTAAAATGCTGGTGAAGTCAGATGGTGACGTGAAAGCAAATCATTCACTCACAGCTGTTATATTTTGCCTAACCGGAAAAGATTACGCAGCACTATTTGCAACACACAGTTTGCGAAGCAGAACTGTAGCTGTAGGCTAGTAGGCTAAACCAGCCAGGCTTGCGCATGGTGTCAACGTTTGTATTGCCTATTGTCTGTTTCAGTTGAGTAATTTTAATAATGAAGGGAGCACTGACAGTGCTCTATTGTCTGTATTGTGTCATCACTTTCCTGCTTTGATGTCAATGCTAAGTTAGCTTACTAACATGTATCTTTTACTTGCCGTTAAGTCATGGCATGCTTAGCTAACACAGCTAGCTCCTGGTTGCTATGTTTGTAATGCTAATTTTTGATGGACTCCAACAGTCCAGAGCTATCTGAATATTGTGTGTCACTTTTGTGTTGTGATCTTGATGCTATGTTAGCATAGGCTGTTGGAATTGTCATCAAGTAACGATACCCTGTCAATCATTGACAGAAAGGCGAATGCTATGCTGCTAACATGAAGCCTTGTTCGTCGTATCCGTGGCGCAAGCAAGCTAATGGAGCAAAGCTATTTCTTATTGTCACTTCTCTAAAATATGTATGCAATGTTAGCTTAGCTTTTGTATGTCGTCCATCTATTTAGCTGAGCGAAAAGCGGCCCGGCGAGGCAAGTACCTGGTTGCAGACGGCTTTCCCGTAGCGCACGAATGTGGCAAAGTGTTCGCAATTAAGCCAGAAGAGATTGTAGGTGAGCTCCTCATCCTCCAGGGCGTCGCGTCGCCGCCTCATCTCCTCGGGTGAGGACGGATTGAAAGCGTGACGGTTGTTGCTGATCAGGATGTGAACGCCACTGGGGACGGTGACCTCGGACAGAGGCACCCGACGAATGCAGGTGGCGCCCAGCAGCAGGTCGCCGCAAAGGGGGAACATGGTTTGGAGAGAGGTGCGGAAGTTGTACATGAGCTGGCCCTCGTCTGTGCAACACACAAGATGTTTGAAAACCTTCAGAGGACAAAAACACTTCCCGTGTGCATTACTACAATGTGAAATCATTTTACAATGGATGTTTCAAACCATGCAATCATTAACTCATTCAGTACCAGCCAATTCTAGCCCAAGTCTGAAAAGACGTTTCAAAACGTCTTTGGGAGTGAATGCCACCAACGAATATTTTCGTTTAAGTTGTTCAACAAGGGTGGAACAGGTTCCGATCCAGCTTGTCTGTGAAATTCAAGCTTCTGCAGACCGTAACGGTACAGATGAGGAGATGCCACGAAATGGCTGTGATCAACTGCAGTATCGTGAGACAGATCCACCCCTGAGACCCTAGTTGGGCCTATGCTAAGTTTGATGAAAGCGTTCCACAGACATGCTATTCTGATACCTGGCAACTCTTTTGAAAAAAAAAAAAAATGGATTGGACTTCTCTGCTCACCCGCCACAGCAAAGTGGATCACATGCTTGTCGTCGTCGTACACGCCCCAGTGCGAGTAGCCGATCGGGTACGAGAACTCAATCAGGTCTCCAAATTGGGCCGATGACGCGATCTCCTCGATCTTAGTAAAAAACAGTAACAACAGAAGAAGGTAAAAGATGCACGGGACACACCTCAACCAGTGTTCAAGCAGGTTGCGCTGCATTACTACACTGTTGGGAATAATACAACTATGTGCAAGTCACAATTATGTCTCATGTCCTTCAATAAGGCTGTGAATACCTGAAAGTGTACTCTTGGTGTGGGGTTGATTTTTAAAAAAACAAAACAAAAAAAAAAAACAGGAATATGGAACAGTGATCCTTAATCCCCGTGGTGCCAGGAAAAATTTATTCACTACAAATAATAGATCTTTATTCATCTCTGTTTGATAAAACGTTCAAAAACGACTGGGATAATGATGACGTTAGATGTAACATCCCAAATATCAGAGGTTTCCCTTTAATTTGTGTTTAAAATCAAGATATTTATGATTCTTACCTGCGCCTCGAGGTCCATCCTGGACTCCTCTGACAGCTTGCCTTGAGGTTGACTTGTGCGTGTTTGAAAAGGGCGTGTGTTTGCGGGTGTGTGTGTGTGTGTGTGTGTGTGTGTGTGTGTGTGTGTGCGTGTGTATTTGCAGAGTGTAAGTGTGCAATTCAGGTTTGGGCACTGACGCATGCACGCAACTTGAAAGAGATTAAGACATCGAAAGTAGTTCAAGCAGAAAAGCAAGCTCCATTTTTTTTTTCGTGAAGTGAGTGTATCAAATGTGTTTTTTTTTTTTAATTATTGTATTTTTTTTTTATTGTATACATTTATCTTTTTTAATGATTTTACACATTGGTAGGAGAATGTTAGAGATGGAGCTACCAGGTAGGAGACAGAGAGGAAGGCCAAAGAGGAGATTCATGGATGCAGTGAGGGAAGACATGCAAGTAGTTGGAGTCAGAGTAGAGGATGCAGAGAACAGGGAAAGATGGAAATTAATGACTCGCTGCGGCAACCCCTGAAAAGGGACAAGCCGAAAGGAGAAGAAGAAGAAAGCAGTAACACAACAAAATGTGGAAAAAGAAATGCACTGTTAATACTTTCCAAATGCACTGTAAACCAAGAAGAGCGGAGTGCGTGTGCGCACGCCTGCACACACACAAAAATAAATACATTCACAGAAATCTGGCTTGCTTTTTGCTCTGTCCTGTCTCATGTGTTCTCATGTCATCTTTTGTCTTTCCATCTCTTGTTGTTCTGGGCAGGTGCCGTTTGGCCCTATGGCCTTCATGCCTGGGAAACTGGTGCACTCTAATGAGGTCACCGTGCTACTTGGTGACAACTGGTTTGCAAAGTGCTCCGCCAAGCAGGCTGAGAAAATTGTCGACCATAGGATGAAGTGTGAGTCTCCTTATAAATCTTGTGACGCACCCACTGTGCAAAGACGTTGGCACATGTTTGTGTCTAAAAAAAATACTCTGCACCAACGTTCAAAAACGACTGGGATAATGATGACGTTAGATGTAACATCCCAAATATCAGAGGTTTCCCTTTAATTTGTGTTTAAAATCGAGATATTTATGATTCTTACCTGCGCCTCGAGGTCCATCCTGGACTCCTCTGACAGCTTGCCTTGAGGTTGACTTGTGCGTGTTTGAAAAGGGCGTGTGTTTGCGGGTGTGTGTGTGTGTGTGTGTGTGTGTGTGTGTGTGTGTGTGTGTGTATTTGCAGAGTGTAAGTGTGCAATTCAGGTTTGGGCACTGACGCATGCACGCAACTTGAAAGAGATTAAGACATCGAAAGTAGTTCAAGCAGAAAAGCAAGCTCCATTTTTTTTTTCGTGAAGTGAGTGTATCAAATGTGTTTTTTTTTTTTAATTATTGTATTTTTTTTTATTGTATACATTTATCTTTTTTAATGATTTTACACATTGGTAGGAGAATGTTAGAGATGGAGCTACCAGGTAGGAGACAGAGAGGAAGGCCAAAGAGGAGATTCATGGATGCAGTGAGGGAAGACATGCAAGTAGTTGGAGTCAGAGTAGAGGATGCAGAGAACAGGGAAAGATGGAAATTAATGACTCGCTGCGGCAACCCCTGAAAAGGGACAAGACGAAAGGAGAAGAAGAAGAATCTTTTTTAATTATTATATTTTTCATATACATTTCCGTACGATTGGCTGGCAACAGGTTCAGGGTGTCCCCTGCCTACTCCCCGAAGACAGCTGGGATAGGCTCCAGCATGCCCCGCGACCCTTGTGAGGATAAAGTGGACCAGAAAATGGATGGGCGGATGGAGATCCATCCATCAATTTCCTTATTACGTCAGAGTGATTCGTCATTAGTAATTTGCATAAAGGCTGGTAAAATTGCTGAGAAATGACCGTCTTATGCTTAATTGAGGGGCTCGCCATCGCTACAGCCAGCTATTGTACCCCTACGGGGGGTGTCACGGACCCCCCCCTCGTGAAAATCATTCCCGCCTGGCATCGTGCTACTATGAACACGGCGCCGCAAAAAAGCTGACATGTCGGCTTGCAACGGTGACTTGCTCGCTTGCTGGTAACTGGCAGACCCACATCCACAAATATTAAGTCACAAGTTTAATCATTCAAAACATTTGTTTTATTTCGGCGACGATATCAAAATGTGACCTCGATACAAATGTGCTAATTGAAGCATAACATTGCTAATGTTACTCCTCAAAATCGTGACACTAGAATGAAAAAAAAAAATGATTCCAGTCGACATGCTATTCTCATAGCACCAACACTTTTGTAGTCCATTTATGATAGTGATGTGTCGGTCGCGAACGAGCCGGTGCAAAGAGCCGGCTCTTTGAAATGAACGATGAGAGCCGGAACCCTCCCTCATTTTCCTTCTCTCTCTCTATCTCTCTCTCTGTCTCTCTCTCTCTCTCTCTCGCTCTCGCTCTCTCTCCCTCTCGCTCTCTCTCTTGCTCTCTCTCGATCATGGTGTACTAAAAACGCCTTACTATATATGATCGTTTTGTTCGTCTAAAAACACCTTACTATTCATGGTGGTTTTTTTCCAGCTAAAAACGCCTTACTATACGTTGTCGTTTTTTTCGGCAAAAAAACGCCTTATTATACGTTGTCGTTTTTTTCGGCGAAGAACACCTTACTATACATGATCGTTTTTTTCGTGGAAAAACGCCTTAATATACATGGTCGGTTTTTTCTTCGAAAAACACTTTACTTTACATGGTCGTTTTTTTCGGGTTAAAAGGCCTTACTATACATGGTCATTATTTTCAGCTAAAAACGACTTACTATACGTGGTCGTTTTTTTCATATAAAAATGCCTTACCATACATGGTCGTTTTTTTCGAATCAAAACGCCTTACTAGATATGGTCGTAATTTTCGGCTAAAAACGCCTTACTATACATGGTCGTTTTTTTCGGCTAAAAACGCCTTATTATACATGGTCGTTCTTTTCGGCTAAAAACGCCTTACAATACATGGTTGTTTTTTTTTCTGCAAGAAACGCCTTACTATACATGGTCGTTTTTTTTTCGGCTAAAAATGCCTTACTATTCATGGTCGTTTTTTCCATCTCAAAACGCCTTACTGTACATGGTCGGTTTTTTCGTCGAAAAACACTTTACTAAACATGGTTTTTTTCGGGTTAAAAGGCCTTACTAAACATGGTCATTATTTTCAGCTAAAAACGACTTACAAAACGTGGTCGTTTTTTTCGTCTAAAAATGCTTTACCATACATGGTCGTTTTTTTCGAATCAAAACGCCTTACTATATATATATGGTCGTAATTTTTCGGCAAAAAACGCCTTACTATACAGGGTCGTTTTTTTGGAGCTAAAAATTCCTTAGTATACATGGTCGTCTTTTTCGGCAAAAAACGCCTTACTATACAGGGTCGTTTTTTTGGAGCTAAAAATTCCTTAGTATACATGGTCGTCTTTTTCGGCAAAAAACGCCTTACTATACAGGGTCGTTTTTTTGGAGCTAAAAATTCCTTAGTATACATGGTCGTCTTTTTCGGCAAAAAACGCCTTACTATACAGGGTCGTTTTTTTGGAGCTAAAAATTCCTTAGTATACATGGTCGTCTTTTTCGGCAAAAAACGCCTTACTATACAGGGTCGTTTTTTTTTAGCTAAAAATTCCTTAGTATACATGGTCGTCTTTTTCGGCAAAAAACGCCTTACTATACAGGGTCGTTTTTTTGGAGCTAAAAATTCCTTAGTATACATGGTCGTCTTTTTCGGCAAAAAACGCCTTACTATACAGGGTCGTTTTTTTTTAGCTAAAAATTCCTTAGTATACATGGTCGTCTTTTTCGGCAAAAAACGCCTTACTATACAGGGTCGTTTTTTTGGAGCTAAAAATTCCTTAGTATACATGGTCGTCTTTTTCGGCAAAAAACGCCTTACTATACAGGGTCGTTTTTTTTTAGCTAAAAATTCCTTAGTATACATGGTCGTCTTTTTCGGCAAAAAACGCCTTACTATACAGGGTCGTTTTTTTGGAGCTAAAAATTCCTTAGTATACATGGTCGTCTTTTTCGGCAAAAAACGCCTTACTATACAGGGTCGTTTTTTTTTAGCTAAAAATTCCTTAGTATACATGGTCGTCTTTTTCGGCAAAAAACGCCTTACTATACAGGGTCGTTTTTTTGGAGCTAAAAATTCCTTAGTATACATGGTCGTCTTTTTCGGCAAAAAACGCCTTACTATACAGGGTCGTTTTTTTTTAGCTAAAAATTCCTTAGTATACATGGTCGTCTTTTTCGGCAAAAAACGCCTTACTATACAGGGTCGTTTTTTTGGAGCTAAAAATTCCTTAGTATACATGGTCGTCTTTTTCGGCAAAAAACGCCTTACTATACAGGGTCGTTTTTTTTTAGCTAAAAATTCCTTAGTATACATGGTCGTCTTTTTCGGCAAAAAACGCCTTACTATACAGGGTCGTTTTTTTGGAGCTAAAAATTCCTTAGTATACATGGTCGTCTTTTTCGGCAAAAAACGCCTTACTATACAGGGTCGTTTTTTTTTAGCTAAAAATTCCTTAGTATACATGGTCGTCTTTTTCGGCAAAAAACGCCTTACTATACAGGGTCGTTTTTTTGGAGCTAAAAATTCCTTAGTATACATGGTCGTCTTTTTCGGCAAAAAACGCCTTACTATACAGGGTCGTTTTTTTTTAGCTAAAAATTCCTTAGTATACATGGTCGTCTTTTTCGGCAAAAAACGCCTTACTATACAGGGTCGTTTTTTTGGAGCTAAAAATTCCTTAGTATACATGGTCGTCTTTTTCGGCAAAAAACGCCTTACTATACAGGGTCGTTTTTTTTTAGCTAAAAATTCCTTAGTATCGTTTTTTTCGGGTTAAAAGGCCTTACTATACATGGTCATTATTTTCAGCGAAAAATGACTTACTATACGTGGTCGTTTTTTTCGTCTAAAAATGCTTTACCATACATGGTCGTTTTTTTCGAATCAAAACGCCGGACTATATATGGTAATTTTCGGCAAAAAACGTCTTACTATACATGGTCCTTTTTTTCGAATCAAAACGCCGGACTATATATGGTAATTTTCGGCAGAAAACGTCTTACTATACATGGTCCTTTTTTTCGAATCAAAACGCCGGACTATATATGGTAATTTTCGGCAGAAAACGTCTTACTATACATGGTCCTTTTTTTCGAATCAAAACGCCGGACTATATATGGTAATTTTCGGCAAAAAACGCCTTACTCTACATGGTCGTTTTTTTTCATCTGAAAACGCCTTACTATACATGGGCGCTATTTTCGGCTAAAAACGCCTTACCATACATGGTCGTTTTTTTCATCTAAAAACGCCTGACGATACATGGTCGTTTTTTTCGGCTAAAAACGCCATACTATACATGGTCTTTTTTTTCAGCTAAAAACGCCTTACGATAAATCGTCGTTTTCGGCTAAAAACGCCTTACTATACATGGTCATTTTTTTCATCTAAAAACGCCTTACTATACATGGTTGTTTTTTTTCATCTAAAAACGCCTTACAATACATGGTTGTTTTTTTCGCTAAAAACGCCTTACTATACATGGTCATTTTTTTCGGCTAAAAACGCCTGACGATACATGGTCGTTTTTTTCGACTAAAAACGCCTTAGTATACATGGTCGTTTTTTTCATCTAAAAACGCCTTTCTATACATGGTTGTTTTTTTCATCTAAAAACGCCTTACAATACATGGTCGTTTTTTTCAGCTAAAAACCCCTTACTATACATGATCATTTTATTTTTTTAGTTAAAAACGCCTTACTATACTTGGGCGTTTTTTTCGGCGAAAAACGTCTTACTATACATGGTCGGTTTTTTTTTTTAAGTTAAAAACACCTTACTATACATGGTCGTTTTTTGGTGCTCAAAACGCCTTTGTATACATGGTCGTTTTTTTTGTAGTTAAAAACCCCTTACTATACATGGTTGTTTTTTTCAGCTAAAAACGCCTTACTATACATCAGGGGTGTATAACGTACGGCCGGAACCGGCCCACAAGGAGGTTTGATCAGGCCCGCAGGATCATTTAAAAGTGAAAAAATACAAAAGACACGGAATGAATATTTTTAATCAGGTGCAATTCATGGAATATCCGCTACGGGGACACACTGTTTTGATTAGAGGAAAAGACAACATTGTTTTGATCAGAGAAGAAGACAACAGCAGCCTCAGTCTGTCACCGAGACAGACCCAACACAGCAGACATAGCACTCTCCTTAGTTTGTAAGGTGTAGGCAGGGATTACATTTAGATTTTATATGCTCGTGTAAATGGTTTAAAAATTCCTTTCTTTACAAATCTCGTTTAATCTTAAAAGTCCATTACTATATTTTTCAAGACCAATTACTTGTTAAGGTTTTGTGCCTTTGTACAGTCAGTGGGATCAGTTGCAATCATATATGTGAATGATAAAAGTAAATTGCACATTTGTCTTAGGAAATCTTAGGTGCTTCATGAAATGTTGAGTAAAAGATATGTTCATTAAATTTCAACATTTTCCTAGTGTTCTTGTGCATCTTTACACCAAAACAAAGGAAAGGCATATTATTTTGGTTATTTGTAGCAGAGTATTGTATAATTTTTAATGGTCCGGCCCACTTGACATCTACCGAGGCCGTATGTGGCCCACAATGTGAAATGAGTTTGACACCCCTGGCCAAGAAAGCAAAATGACAAAACGACACAATCTCTTTGTGCAACTCGTCTTCAATCGAAAACGAAGTTGGCTTTGCAAACTATCTCTTGATCTCAGGATGGCATTCTGAAGGCAGGCAG